CACACACACATACACACACATATATATATATGTGTGTGTGTGTGTGTAATTATTAGGGTATTCAATATTATTAAGTTTAAATACACTAATAGCTTTTAGTAACTCAGAAATATTTGTTGTACTTTCTTTAATTTTTTAAATAAGACTTCCTATTTTAATACAGTCAGCCAACTTTAGATGATGGAGAGTCTCTTAATATGAACTCAAAAATTAAAAATGAATCATTTCATTGCAATAACTTATATACTCTATTACAAATGTATTCCGATAATATTTCTATAATTTTTATATTATTTAATCAAAGACCAGGATGTTTTTAGCAGTGATAACAACAATAATAAATGCTGTTTGTTTACAATGCAACACATTAAAGAAAAGACAAAGACCTTGTTTGAATAAATATAACTTTATTTTCAAGAAAAACAACTATTGTACATTTTCACAAGGTAGGTATTTGCATTTATTTATTCTAATGACTGTATAACAATACATTGGCTTTGTAAACTTCCACAACAACGTATAATATCCAATATAATATTTAATACATAATCTTATTAATATAAGATTGTCATATTGCTCTACAGAGAGTTACCTGAAGCAGCAGTATTCATTATATAAACAAGATTTTTTTCTTCCACATGCAGCGTAAGAGAATTTAGATCTCTATTAGAGAAACCAATTCTTCCCATTCTTGCATCGTTCTTTATTAAATAGATTAGCAATAGATTTGATCAGTTTAACAACGGTTTCATTTAGGATCAGATGACAGTGGGACATCTGCAAAGTATAGTTTAGTTTAAAAGAAATCTTTAAATCTCACTGATCTACATCTCACTTTCTAAATCTTTCATGCTTTCTTTATTATACTGAAACATGAAACAATAGCAGAAGTGCATGTGTTATATAGATTTGTTGAATAAAACCAGCTGAAGCTCACATTCACAGCTGGTAATGCAACAGACACACAGTCTAATCAAAAGACCAGATTCAAATGCTAAGGGCACAACAGCCCCAAAAAATTACATTTAATTGCATAATGCCTCAAATGGCACAAATTTCATCATAATTAAAGGAAAAAAATCATGTGCAAATAAAGTTAAATGCAGTGAGGAAAAACAACATGTTCAGATGCTCATCTACCAGTATATCCAAATACAGTTCAACCAAAAACTTAAAATTGGCTGAAAATGTGCTCACCTTCAGGCCGTCCAAGATCAGGATGAGTTTGTCTCTTCATCAGATTTGGTGAAATGTAGCATTGCATCAGTGTCTCAGCAATGGATGCTCTGCAGTGAATGGGTGCCGTCAGAATGAGAGTCCAAACAGCTGATAAAAACATCACAATAATCCACAGCACTCCAGTCCATCAGTGAACATCTGGAGAAGACAAAAGCTGAAACACATCCAGCATTAAGACGTTTAAACTTCACTTCTGGCCAAAATAGTCCATATTCCATAATAATGTTTCCTTCAGTGAAAAAGTCCATCTCCTGTTGTCTCTGACATCAAAATCACCCACATATGTGACCCTGCACCACAAAACCAGCCATAAGGTTCCATTTTTTGACATTGAGATTTATAAATTTATAAATAAATAAGCTTTCCATTGATGTATGATTTGTTAGTATAGGACAATATTTGGCCGAGATACAACTATTCTATTAAATTATCTTCTTAGCAATGCATTATTACTAACTAAAAATTAAGTTTTGATATATTTACAGTAGGAAATTTACAAAATATCTTCATGGAACATGATCTTTACTTAATATCCTAATGATTTTTGGCATAAAAGAAAAATGTATAATTGTGACCCATACAATGTATTGTTGTCTATTGCTACAAATATCCCCCAGCGACTTAACACTGCTTTTGTGCTGCAGGGTCACATATGTTGTATAGAGCTGTTTAAACGGTGCTTGATCTGATCAGATTTCTCTCCTGAGTCAGACCAGAACACTTTTTCACCGGAGGAAGCGTTATTATGGATTATGGACTTGTATTTCAGCTGGAAATAATGGTTTGAAGTTAAAAACGTCTTAATGCTGGATGTGTTTCAGCTTTTGTCTTCTCCAGATGTTAACTGATGGACTGGAGTGTTGTGGATTATTGTGATGTTTTTATCAGCTCTCATTCTGACGGCACCCATTCACTGCAGAGCATCCATTGCTGAGACACTGATGCAATGCTACATTTCTCCAAACCTGATGAAGAAACAAACTCATCTACATATTAGATGGCCTGAGGATAAGCAGATTTTTAGCCCATTTTCATATTTGGCTGAACTATTCCTTTAAATGATAGGCCCGTGTAAAGACATATACAACTACAAATGAGTGCAGAAACATCAGATCCTTGTTTGCTTTTAGATTGCAACTCCAACCACTCAGCACAACGTGTTGTCTTTAAATCCTCTGTGCGCCATCATTAACCTGCGAGCATCTACAGCTCCTCACTTTCTACCCTTCGCTCTGGTTGGGAGGCAGAGAATGTGACGGGGCCGTTGTCGCTCATGGAAAATGCTGACTTTATATCCAGACCCTGGCCGGTGAGAGCAGCGTATCGACTCCCGCTGAGCTGCGTTTTCTTCATCGGTGCATGAACGGGCTGATACCACTGAGCTGCAGAAAACAACACGTTTGGACATAACTGTGCAATTAAGAAAATCTTTTGCACTTGAGTTGCATGCTGTGAGTAACGTATTTATTTATTAGTCACATAGTTGACACAACTACACCTTTCAGCATCTTTTTTGGGTTAAATGTAATACAGTTGTACAATATAATGTACAGTAAATGTATATTTTAGGTGCTTTAACTGGTTACCATCTTTATTAATCAACTTTTTGCAGTTCACTTCACTAGTACCTACACAGTATGACAAATGAACTAAGATACAAATTATAAGATTAATTTAATTAATTAGATACTTACATTAATAATTAGATTAATTAATATGAGAAAAATTCCTTAAAATAATTAGAAATATTACATTTAAAATAGTTTTAGATAGTGTAATATAGTAGTTTAATTTAATTTTTAATTATTAGAAAAATTCCTTAAAATAATTAGAAAAATTACATTAAAATAGTTGTAGAAAAAGAATAACATGTTAGTTAGTTTAGAAGTAACTTCTTAAAATAGTTACAAAAATTAGTTTAAAATAGTTTTAGATTTTAGAGTATAACATCGTAGTTTAATTCAGTTTATCATTATCAGAGTCATCTCTCAAAATAGTCAGAAACATTAGATTTTAAATATTTTAGATGGAGTATAATATAGTAGTTTAATTCTAATATTATTAGAATAATTTCTGAAAATAATTAGAATGTTTAATAATATATGTTAAAACCTAAAACATTGAAAAAATTGTATAATATAGTAGTTTAATTGCATTTGTAATTATCAGAACTATTTCTTAAAATAATTAGAAAAATGACATTTAAAATATTTTTAGACGGAGTATTAATGTAGCAGTTTAATTTAGATTTTCATTTATTTCTGACCAGCTAACAAAAGTACTGTACTCTGTGTTAGAAGTCATTGCAGGAGAACAACTAAAATTGTAGCCAAGATGCTTTATATCTTAACTATTTCTTAACTTTACTAATATATAGTGCTGAAATATTAAGAAATGTAATTGACTCACCGTATAGGTCTAGTCTTGCTGTGCATGATATGATTCCTGCTTCATTTTTTGCAGACACCGTGTACCAGCCAGCATCTTCCTTTCTAGTCGGTTGAATCAGTAGACAAACATAACCTGTCGTGTCCTGATGCATGCTGGGATAACAAAGACACAGAATGGGAATTTCAAAAATATTAATGTTCTTTTAATTCATTTACTGTGTGATATACTGCATTTATGTTCTCAAAAGCACACAGTGTTGATCATATCTGGGAAACTGTGCTGAAGGGAGCTGCTGGTTTCATGCCTGGTCCAGCAGATGTGAGCGGACTCACCTGACTCTGTCCTTCGAGTGAGGGATCGTGTCATTGTCTTTCTTCCAGAAGATGAGCGGCTGTGGCATTCCCACAACCCTGCACTCCAGACGCACCGGGGAGCCCTCGGCGATGCCCGTGTTCTGCAGCTTTTCCACGAAATGCGGCGCCTGCTTCAGCTCTTTTTCTGCGTGTGTTCATTTGACAGAGAAAAGAGGATCAAGTATCTGTGTGTTATTAAGCTGTTGCGTGTCAGAATAGCACGATATAAATGTGCAATTCTGGCTGCTTTTCTCAGAATTGCACGATGTAACAATTCTGAGAGAGAACAAAAGGCTGGCTATTTTCTTACAATTGCATGTTTATATCTCACAGTACTGACTTTATAACTCGTAACTGTGATTTAATAAATCAACAAGTCGAAATTATGACATAAAAAGTACAAAATCTGAGACAAGAAGTCAAAATTATGGCATAAAGTCTTTTTTTTTAAATATTTGTTAATATTTTTGACTTTTGTCAATTTTGACTTGATTTACTTTTTGTCATAATTATAATTTATCTTATAGTCGCAATGTTTTATCTGACAAGATTTTTAAAATTGTATAAGTATGAGATATGGCGAAATTATGACATGAAAAGTCATAATTATTAGATAAAAAGGTAGAATTATGAGGCGTCATAATTTTGACCAAAAAAAAATCAATTATGGCATAAAATTATAAATATAATAGTCAAAAGTGTGAGAAAAATCTAAACTAGCATACATCAAAATTATGACATACTAAGTCATAATTATGACATAAAAGGTTGAAATTGATGTACAAGGCTGAATTTATGATAGTCAAAAATGAGTTAGTATGGAATTATAAAATTATTGAGTTACTTAAAATTCAATATTATGAGATAAAGTCATCATAACATATGCTAAGTCAAAGAATTTTTATTGTCATAATTATGACTTTTCATCTCATAATGACTTAGCATGCCATAATTTCAATTTGTTTTGAATTCCTATCTCATAATTTTGACTTACGTCATTCCAAGTCATAATTGTGATTTACTAATACACATTTTTTTCTTGTGTGGCAGAAATGGGCTTTCTAGTATTTTAATGTTGAAAGGACATTCAGAAACGATCCGGCTCTTACCCACTACTCTGAGCTCGAGGCCGAATGAACTCTGTCCCGCTTTATTTGAGGCGATGCAGGTGTACGTCCCGTCATCGGCTTGAGTCAGAGGGTCAATAACCAGAGAATGGATGCCGTTTTCTCTCACGAGCATTCGGTGAGTGAGGTCTGGATATATGGGCCTCCCGTTGAGAAGCCACATGATTTCAGGATGAGGTAACCCACTCACCTAAACAGCAGAGGAGGGTTCAGAGCATGAAGACAAAACATGCCGCTTCAAGCTTTCTGCAATGCTACGTGTCATTGTATTGGATAACAGACAGCTTTCTCAAAAAGTATTTGGATGCTTCAGTGACTTTTCAAGCATTTTGGAATTTTGGTTTTAATAGTTTTAAATGATACAACGGAATACAAAGCCACTTAAGTGACTTTTATGACCAGGTTTCTTTAAGTACATTTAAAAAGTGCACTTTGTAAATATGTCAAATTAGAATTTTTTATTTAAAGTATGTTGCAAATCCGTGTTATTACCTAAACTGAAACTAATATTAAAACCATTAAATAAATAAATAAATTGTTGCTTGAAATGAAGTGGATGAAAACTGAAATAAAATAGAAAATGTTATTTTATTTCATCTAGTTGCCAAGGCAACATCTCTCATTTTAATTTACAGTACACTGTAAAAAAACACCGTGAATTTAACGGTAAAAGACTGTAAAAATGCTACAGTAAAAACCTACTGTAATGGTTAAGGGTAAATTCCTCTACTATATACGGTGAACACCTGTATTGGATATTACATGTATTGGACATTAATTTTACGGTAGTATACCGTTTTTGGAAGTGAAAAAGACCGTATAAGTTACAGTGAATAACCGTAAATTGACATTCCCAGAATTCCCTGCGTTACATTTCAAATGTGATGTTTTTTTGTTGAAATAACTGTTTCTTCTTAGTTTTTCTTATCAGTTTTGTATATTAGGGTTGTGTGTTACACCTAATGTTGTTAAATGAATGTTTATTGCATTATTTCAGTGTCATGTGTGTTACCATGGTGGTGTTTAGTGTTTGTGTGAATGACGCTGTGCATCTTCTATATATGTTATTATCTAAAAGCTGCTTGTGATGGGCTTTGGTTCATCATGTGACTTTCTCATCACCTCCTGCATTTGGTGATTATCAGTGTATTACAAAGCTACAAAACAGATTTTAGTACTTCAATAGGTTGGTATATTAACATTATATCAATTAAATTACGGTATTTAACTGTAAATTTAAGTTAAAACCGTAAAACCTAAAACGTTGCTACCGTATTTTTTACCGTAAATTTTATGGGTTTTTTTTTTACAGTGTAGTCAACATTCAAAGCTGCTTGTGATAGGCTTTGGTTCATCATGTGACTTTCTCATCACCTCCTGCATTTGGTGATTATCAGTGTATTACAAAGCTACAAAACAGATTTTAGTACTTCAATAGGTTGGTATATTAACATTATATCAATTAAATTACGGTATTTAACTGTAAATTTAAGTTAAAACCGTAAAACCTAAAACGTTGCTACCGTATTTTTTACCGTAAATTTTACGGTATTTTTTTTTACAGTGTAGTCAACATTTGAAGTGGATCAAAACCTTTCATCAGAGTTGTCCTAAAACCTAAAACCAAAATGCGTTCTTGTCTTAGGACAAGTCCTGCTCTCTACCTTCTTAAGTTAAAATAATTGCATTTAACATTGCATTTTCATTTAATTGCAATTAACATGCAATAGAGTCTAAAACATTACATTCAGTTTGCACTTAAGTATTTTGATTTCAAGTATTTTCTTTAAGTAAGAACCCGTTTTACAAGTATGGCAAAGTGTACTTCCTTTGTATATTTACGGCCAGATTTACCAAACAGGGCAAATTAGCATTAGAGCGCAATTCTATAAAAGCGCGGATGGGAGGGGAAAATAAAATACTATGGAAGTCAATGGTGCTCATCAACTGTTCAGATCCCAACATTCTTCAAAATATCTTCTTTTGTGTTCGACAGAAGAAAGAAACTCATACAGGTTTGGAACAAGTGGAGGGTGAGTAAATGATGACAGAATTTTCATTCTGAAAGTGAGCTACTCTTTAAGACATGCTTTTTTTGGGCGTTAAATAATGGTGCAAATACCAGTAATTTGACGAGCGCAAACGTTAGTAAATTGCATTGCGTGATTCATTTTAATACTCCCCTCCCATAAATTTTGCATCTCAAAAGAAATGCACATTCAGTAAGGTCAGGCGCAAAAATAACTGTACTGTTTTAACGCCAAAAGACGGTTTGTGCTGGTGCAAGCTGTTAGTAAATCTGGCCCCAAGTCTGCTAGGACTCCTAATGCAATGATGGTCAGACATTTTTAAGCGCTCAGATCTGTTTTGGGATCATCTTGCTGGAATATCTCCAGTACCTTGCAGTCTAACCTACAGAGGCGTCCCTCATGAGCCGACATGTCTCCCGGAGCCTGCAGGAAGTGCGGACGAAAGAAGCGCTCTTGAGCCGGCTCGCCCTCCACTTCCTGTACACGCGCTCGGACTCTGGGAAAAACAACGTTGAGTGATCACAGACATGCAAACAGGTAACGGGGGAAAAAAAGGTGAGAACATTACAGGGATCGGGGGCATGCTCCACACAGAAGTTCTTTTAAAGGTATTTGCTTTACATGCTCATTTGTAGTTACTTTAAGGTTTATATATATATATATTAGTGCTGTCAAATGATTAATCGCGATTAAATCGCAATAAATGTTTTTGTTTGCATAATATATGTGTGTGTGCTGTGTATATTTATTATGTATGTAAATACACTCACATGCATGTATATTTCAGAAAAATATGTTATGTTTATATATTAAACATTTATTTATAATATAAATTATATGAATATAAATATAGACATGTAAATATTTTCAAAATATATACATGCATGTATGTGTATTTATATATACATAATAAATATACACAGAACACACATATATTATGCAAACAAAAACGTTTATTTTGGATGCGATTAATCGCGATTAATCGTTTGACAGCACTAGTGAATATATATCCTTATATGTCCAAATCTGTAAATTTTCAAAAAAAATATTAACATCTTATTGCGACATTTTACAAAAATCAAGATTGAATATATTTGATATAAAAGATGAAGCGCTCTGCAGGCTATTTAAGACAATATTGGCTAAAATGCTAAATGTTTGCCCTCTCTCTCTCTTGACCGTTCCCACATCTCAGACCTCAAATACATAACATATTACCCTTTTTAGACATAGTTCTTGAAGTAAAGATTAATAAAATACTATGCAAAACTTATTGAAACGACCAGTTTTTTATTTACCCTTGTAAGACCCCCTCATAAAAACACTTTCTCTCTGGATCTAAGCAAATCTCATAGTTGATTCTGATCTCAAAAAAGTGAGTTGTCACTGAAAGGTGAGAAGTTTGCAGCTATGTATTACACATGCAAGTCCATTAAACTTATCTCTTTGTCAGCCATTGCAACTTTAGAAGAAATGCATAAAACTGAGCATTGATCCGACTCACCTCTGCGAGTGAACCATGGGACGGTTTCGCACGGGACCCGTTTGGACAATCAAATGGCCAGAGCAACTTATTCTGCCCTGTGAACATGAAAACAAGCTCGACTCTGATTTCTGCTGTACATCAGAGTCATTTCTGATCATTTTCTCCAGCATGTTACCTGTGGATTCGCTGCCATGACTGTATAATTGCCGTCATCGTCACTTGTGACGGCTTCTATGTGTAATGAACACGTCCCATCACCCTCTCTGATCTTCTTATAGTGCACGTTTTTCTTCAAAATCTGCTTTCCATCCTTAAACCAGTAAACCTGTGTGAAAAGTACAAAATAAAACAAGTAGTTTGGATTATATTTATGTTTTTGTTATGCTTAAAGATTGAAATTAATATAAACTGTACAGAAAACAAATTATTTAGAAAATAGTAATGATTAATTATTAATCTACAAGCACTAGATTAATATTTTTTTTTAGCTATATAAAAGAAATTAGTACTTTTATCCATTAAGGAGGATGTATTAAATTGATCAAAAGTGAGAGTAAAGACATTTTTAATGTTACAAAAAAAGTTCAGTTTCAAATAAATGTTCTTTTGAACTTTCTATTCATCAAAGAATCCTGAAAAACAAAATGTATCACAGTTTCCACAAAAATATTGTGCAGCACAACTGTTTTCAACATTGGTAATAATCAGAAATGTTTCTTGAGCAGCAGATCAGCATATTATACTGATTTCTGAAGATCATGTGACACTGAAGACTGGAGTAATGATGCTGAAAATACAGCTGCGCATCACAGGAATACATTTATTGTATTTTTTGATCAAATAAATGCAGCCTTGGTGAGCAGAAGAGACTTCTTTCAAAAACATATATAAAAAAATCTTACCAATCCCAAACTTTGAACCATAAAGAGAACACAATAAAAGTGTTATTTTCTGTGCATGCATTAAAAAAGCATCACATGCTGTCAAAAACTCACTTTAGGAATTGGAATTCCAACAACTTTACAGGTAAATGTGACAGGAATCCCTTCCACAGCCCTGAAGTGCTTCAGTTTCTTGTCGAAGATGGGCGCGATGCATTTTCCAGAGGGAATTTCATCGTGCTGAACTTCATCGTCCGACTCTTCAACTGGAGTTCTTTCCAAACGAAACTCGATCTCGCTCAGTAGCCTCTGCTCAAAGCTCGACACCTTGTATTCCTACAAAACACATGAACTTATTACCTGAAATCATTCATGAATGTGTCCCATTTTCATATTAACTAAACTTTCATATTTACTACTTTTTCCAGGTTCTGTGGAAATATTGGCCACAGCTACCTAAATGTTAAAGTTTCCAGAACAGTCGCATAATTAAACAACCAAACTGATCATAGTAATGTCTAAAAATAACAACAAACAGAGATATGTGATAAATGACAAGGCTAATCAGTGGTCAGGCTATTTTCAACAATCAGTGTGAACTTGTATATTTGCATGACACATTTTACAACATATAAACCAATTACAATAAGAAGCGGGCTTTGTGGAGATAATATAACACTATAACATATAACCTATATGAAGGTAATAGCGACTTTTTATCTCACAACTTATCTCACAACACAATTTTTTGCAATTCTTGGAAACAAGTCAGAATTGCAAGATTTAAACTCAGAATTCTAATAAAAAAGTCAGAATTGCAAGATTTAAACTCAGAATTCTAATAAAAAAGTCAGAATGGCAAGATTTAATCTTAGAATTCTAATAAAAAAGTCAGAATTGCAAGATTTAAACTCAGAATTCTAATAAAAAAGTCATAATTGCAAGATTTAAACTCAGAATTCTAATAACAAAGTCAGAATTGCAAGATTTAAACTCAGAATTCTAATAAAAAAGTCAGAATTGCAAGATTTAAACTTAGAATTCTAATAAAAAAAAGTCAGAATTGCAAGATTTAAACTTAGAATTCTAATAAAAAAGTCAGAATTGCAAGATTTAAACTCACAATTCTAATAAAAAAGTCAGAATTGCAAGATTTAAGTTTAAAATTCTGAGGGGAAAAACATAATTGCGAGATTTAAAATCAGAATTGTGAAATAAAGTAGAATTTAGTGTTTTTTTTTATCCAGTGGCAAAAACAAATAAAGCAGAATTGTGAGACTTAAACTCAGAATTCTGAGAAAAAAGTAAAAATTGTTAGATTTAAACAAAGAATTCAGAGGGAAAACGCCAGAATTGTGAGATTTAAACTCAGAACTGCGTGAGACAAAAAAAAAAAATCACATTTAGCATTTTTTTAAAACTTGTGGCAAAACCAAATAAAGCTAGATTTTGCTAGAAGTAAACTCAGAATTCTGAATTTCTGAAAATTGTGAGATAAAATCGCAAATGTTTTTATTCTGTGGTGGAAACATATATTCTGGGGGTTAGAGAAAGAATGAAAAATGGTCATATATTACTAAATTATGAATGTTTTTGGTGTAAAAATAAATAAATACACAAATAAAAACTAAAACTAGGTTACTAAATAGCTATGATATGAACCCTTTAACACACCATCCTATTTTAAAAGTACCTATTATATCTCAAGAGGCCTGTCGGGTAACAGCTCGCCTTTAGTTCTGGATGTCTGAATGCAGTCACCTCTATTTATAGTACAGAAGAGCCCTGTTCATTCCTGACTCTGTCTAGTCTCGCAAGCCCAGCGCTCATGTTTACTCACAGATACCGTTTGCATTCAGATTTCACTCACATAGACACTGAACTGAACTGTGATTGCAATGGAAACACAGCAACCCAAACTGCAGATGGTCTAATGTAGTGCTCATGTCATTATTGTTTCTGTTTGAGATATCCATTGAACACTGATATTAATATTCTCATGTAGTTAGTATAGCATTCAATTAAAATGCATAATCTTTTGTGATAGAATTTGAGTTAGAGTATTAGTTACAATTTACAAGGACGCAGCTATATTTTTAATATTTGATCAATTATTCTGACTTCAAGATTTAATGTTAAACTTTACAATACACTTTACAATATACGGTCCCATTGGTTAACATTAGTTAATGCAATAACTAACATTAACTAGGAAGACATTTGTTATAGTATTCATAAATCTTACTATTAATCTAATATTCAGAATCAGAATCAGAATGAGTTTTTATTGCCAGGTATGTTTACACATACGAGGAATTTGTTTTCATGACAGAAGCTCCACAGTGTAACAGAATGACAGTGACAGAACAAAAACACAGATAATAAAAAATAGAAAAATAGAACAAGTAACTAAGGAATAAAAATATACAAATCGACAATTGTATGTACAGGTATATAACAATAGACAGTTGTATGTACAGGTATATTATGTGCAAATTGAAATGTAGACTGAGTGTGTGTGTGTTAGATAAATAAGTGTATGAGTGAATAAATAGTGTCTGTTCCACAGTTATTGTCAAGTGTTCATGAGATGGATGGCCTGAGGGAAAAAACTGTTCCTGTGTCTGGTCGTTCTGGTGCTCAGAGCTCTGTAGCGTCGACCAGATGGCAACAGTTCAAAGAGGGAGTGTGCTGGATGTGAGGGGTCCAGAGTGATTCTGCCAGCCCTTTTGCTCACTCTGGACGAGTACAGTTCTTGGAGAGAAGGGAGGGTTGTACCAATGATTCGCTCAGCAGTCCGGACTACCCTCTGAAGTCTTCTGAGGTCAGATTTGGTAGCTGAGCTGAACCAGACAGTTATTGAAGTGCAGAGGACAGATTCAATAATGGCGGAGTAGAACTGTTTCAGCAGCTCCTGTGGCAGGTTGAACTTCCTCAGCTGGCGAAGGAAGTACAACCTCTGCTGGGCCTTTTTCACAATGGAGTCAATGTGAGTGTCCCACTTCAGGTCCTGAGAGATTGTGGTGCCCAGGAACCTGAATGACTCCACTGCAGTCACAGTGCTGTCCATGATGGTGAGTGGGGGGAGTGCAGAGGGGTTTCTCCTGAAGTCCACGGTCATCTCCACAGTTTTTAGCGTGTTGAGCGCCAGGTTGTTGAGACTGCACCAGACAGCCAGCTGCTCGACCTCCTGTCTGTAAGCAGACTCGTCACCGTCCTGAATGAGGCCGATGAGTGTGGTGTCGTCTGCAAACTTCAGGAGCTTGACAGAGGGGTCTTTAGATGTGCAGTCGTTGGTGTACAGGGAGAAGAGCAGTGGAGAGAGAACACAACCCTGAGGAGCTCCAGTGCTGATCGTACGGGTGCTGGATGTGTATTTTCCCAGCCTCACTAGCTGCTGCCTGTCTGTCAGGAAGCTGTTGATCCACTGACAGACGGAGGTGGGCACGGAGAGCTGAGTTAGTTTGGGCAGGAGGAGGTTTGGGATGATGGTGTTAAAGGCCGAGCTGAAGTCCACGAACAGGATCCTCACATAAGTCCCTGGTCTGTCTAGATGTTGCAGAACATAATGCAGTCCCATGTTTACTGCATCGTCCACAGACCTGTTTGCTCTGTAGGCAAACTGAAGAGGATCCAGCAAGGGTCCAGTGATGTCCTTCAGGTGGGCCAGCACCAGTCTTTCAAAAGACTTCATGACCACAGACGTTAGAGCCACAGGTCTGTAGTCATTAAGTCCAGTAATTTTGGGTTTCTTTGGGACGGGGATGATGGTGGAGCGTTTGAAGCATGAAGGGACTTCGCACAGCTCCAGTGATCTGTTGAAGATCTGTGTGAAGATGGGGGCCAGCTGGTCAGCACAGGATTTCAGACAGACTGGTGTAACACAGTCTGGGACCTGGTTCTTTTCTCATTTTCTGCTTCCGGAAGACCTGGCGCACCTCTTCTTCGCTGATCTGAATTGCAGGTGTGGGGGAGAGGGGGGTTGCTGGAGGTGTGAATGGTTGTGTGGAGAGGTGTTCAGGGCGGGTGTGGGGTGTCTTTTCAAACCTGCAGTAGAACTCGTTCAGATCGTCTGCCAGGTGTTGATTCTCCGCAGTGCTGGGGGATGGTGTCTTGTAATTGGTGATTTCTTTTAGACTTTTCCACACTGATGCCGAGTCACTGGAAGAGAATTTAATCCTTATTTTTTCTGAATAATTCCTCTTTGCCACTCTGATCTCCTTTTCCAGTGTGTATTTAGCCTGTTTATACAAGACATTATCCCCCTTCCTGTAAGCATCTTCTTTGGCCTGACGGAGCTGTCTGAGTTTTGCAGTGAACCATGGTTTGTCATTGTTGTAAGTTAAGTGAGTCCTGGTAGGAATGCACATGTCTTCACAGAAACTGATATAAGATGTTACAGTCTCTGTGAGCTCGTCCAGATCGGTGGCAGCAGATTCAAAAACGCTCCAATCAGTGAAGTCAAAACAAGCTTGTAAATCCTGCTCTGCTTCATTAGTCCATCTTTTTACAGTCCTTAATACAGGTTTAGCTGATTTCAGTTTCTGCCTGTAGGTCGGTATAAGATGAACCAAGCAGTGATCAGAGAGCCCCAAAGCTGCTCGTGGGACAGAGTGATATGCATTCTTTATTGTAGTGTAACAGTGATCCAATATATTACTGTCTCTGGTGGGACATGTGATGTGCTGTCTGTATTTTGGCAGTTCACGGGAGAGATTGGCTTTATTAAAGTCCCCGAGAATGATTAAAACAGAGTCCGGGTGTTGTTGTTCTGTGTCTGTGATCAGATCAGCGAGTTTCTGTAAAGCGGAGCTCACGTGCGCTTGCGGAGGAATGTAGACACTGACGAGAATGAACGAGCAAAACTCCCGCGGCGAATAGAACGGCTTGCAATTAATGAAGAGCACTTCTAGATCTGAACAGCACATCTTCTTTAACACAGTTACATCTGTACACCGCCTCTCATTGATGTAAAAGCATGTCCCGCCACCACGTGATTTCCCCGTTGATTCTGCGTCGCGGTCCGCTCTGAACAGCTGAAAACCCGGCAGACTCAACGCGCTGTCCGGAATGGCGTCTTTCAGCCAGGTTTCCGTGAAACACAGAGCAGCAGAGTTAGAAAAATCCTTATTTGTCCGGGAGAGCAGAAGAAGTTCGTCCGTTTTGTTGGGTAAAGAGCGGAGGTTCGCCAGATGGATAAAAAAGTCAGAATTGCAAGATTTAAACTCAGAATTCTAATAAAAAAGTCAGAATTGCAAGATTTAAACTCAGAATTCTAATTAAAAAGTCAGAATTGCAAGATTTAAACTCAGAATTCTAATTAAAAAGTCAGAATTGCAAGATTTAAACTCAGAATTCTAATTAAAAAGTCAGAATTGCAAGATTTAAACTCAGAATTCTAATTAAAAAGTCAGAATTGCAAGATTTAAACTCAGAATTCTAATTAAAAAGTCAGAATTGCAAGATTTAAACTCAGAATTCTAATTAAAAAGTCAGAATTGCAAGATTTAAACTCAGAATTCTAATTAAAAAGTCAGAATTGCAAGATTTAATCTTAGAATTCTAATAAAAAAGTCAGAATTGCAAGATTTAAACTCAGAATTCTAATAAAAAAGTCAGAATTGCAAGATTTAAACTCACAATTCTAATAAAAAAGTCAGAATTGCAAGATTTAAGTTTAAAATTCTGAGGGGAAAAACATAATTGCGAGATTTAAAATCAGAATTGTGAGATAAAGTAGAATTTAGTGGTTTTTTTATCCAGTGGCAAAACAAATAAAGCAGAATTGTGAGATTTAAACTCAGAGTTGTGAGATAAAAGTCGAATTTAGTGTTTTTTTTTATCCCGTGCAAAAACAAATAAAGCAGAATTGTGAGACTTAAACTCAGAATTCTGAGAAAAAAGTAAAAATTGTTAGATTTAAACAAAGAATTCAGAGGGAAAACGCCAGAATTGTGAGATTTAAACTCAGAACTGCGTGAGACAAAAAAAAGAAAAATCACATTTAGCATTTTTTTAAAACTTGTGGCAAAACCAAATAAAGCTAGATTTTGCTAGAAGTAAACTCAGAATTCTGAATTTCTGAAAATTGTGAGATAAAATCGCAAATGTTTTTATTCTGTGGTGGAAACATATGTTCTGGGGGTTAGAGAAAGAATGAAAAATGGTCATATATAACTAAATTATGAATGTTTTTGGTGTAAAAATAAATAAATACACAAATAAAAACTAAAACTAGGTTACTAAATAGCTATGATATGAACCCTTTAACACACCATCCTATTTTAAAAGTACCTATTATATCTCAAGAGGCCTGTCGGGTAACAGCTCGCCTTTAGTTCTGGATGTCTGAATGCAGTCACCTCTATTTATAGTACAGAAGAGCCCTGTTCATTCCTGACTCTGTCTAGTCTCGCAAGCCCAGCGCTCATGTTTACTCACAGATACCGTTTGCATTCAGATTTCACTCACATAGACACTGAACTGAACTGTGATTGCAATGGAAACACAGCAACCCAAACTGCAGATGGTCTAATGTAGTGCTCATGTCATTATTGTTTCTGTTTGAGATATCCATTGAACACTGATATTAATATTCTCATGTAGTTAGTATAGCATTCAATTAAAATGCATAATCTTTTGTGATAGAATTTGAGTTAGAGTATTAGTTACAATTTACAAGGACGCAGCTATATTTTTAATATTTGATCAATTATTCTGACTTCAAGATTTAATGTTAAACTTTACAATACACTTTACAATATACGGTCCCATTGGTTAACATTAGTTAATGCAATAACTAACATTAACTAGGAAGACATTTGTTATAGTATTCATAAATCTTACTATTAATCTAATATTCAGAATCAGAATCAGAATGAGTTTTTATTGCCAGGTATGTTTACACTCACATAAAGAAACCCATAACTCAAAGTAAGATGATCAGAAACAGCAAAAACTTTCTTAAATTTTATATAACTGAATTGTGTCTGTCAGTCCTGCAAAAGCATGGCCTAGGTACTATTTGTACTATACACAACAAAACGCATCTTTGTAATATTTATGACACCACATACCTGCTGTCCAAAACGAAGCTGTTCATCTTTAAATTGCAATTTCTTCTCAATATCTTGTAACAGTGTTTCCTTGCTCTCGCGGATGTCATCATCAGACATGAGTCTGGAACCTCTTTGATTCTTCTTTAGTGCACCTTGAGGCCTGAACATGAAGTAACACAATGAGACTGAGGTAAGGCATTAAAATATGATACAAATACGTGTATATATATTTATGAAAAGTCAAATTTTGCTGTAAAACAGCTCTAAAACGACCATAGTGTCATTGCATTAACTAGTCAGTAAACAGACAGGATATTCCACAAAAATCCCTTTAAAGGGGTCATAGCATGAGAAATCAAATTTGCCTTGATCTTTTGGGATATAAGAGGTCTTTGTACCATTAAAACAACCTGCAAGTTTCATAGATCCTATGTCCTCCTCATTATAAACAAAGCATTTATTTAATCAAGCTCCAAAAACGGCTCGTTTTGGATCCGAGGGGCAAGGTGACGTCACCTAGCCCCAGTCATTTGCATAAACACTGCCTCCAGAGCAAGACATTGACAAATAGTCATCTTCTCACCATAGGCCCCGCCCACTGGTGTTCAGACACTTAACAGCTTAACGGACACTTGTCACGCTGAATGCGAGTGTCGCTTTGCGTCAAAAGCAAACAGAAATTACAATCACTGACGCTGTCTTGTCTACACTGGATACAGTATACAGATGTGCGTTCACTTTCTGACAGTGCACGCGCTCGAGTCGGTCATCATCAGGACAAATGGAGTGAAAGAATGTTCGCTTTGACGCGTTTGGTTTAATCAGCTCGTTCATGTCTTTGTACAGATATCAGAAGGATCCCAGTGTAAGGAACAAGTGGATAGTTTATTTTTAATGGTGTCCTGGATTGTGTCTGAGGATCGATCAGAGCATTTTGTTTTGTAAACGAGGCACAGTGTAATGGAGAGTTCACAAAGAAACATTTGTTGAAAGATGAAGCAGTGCTAGATCTGACTGCAGCTGCATCACAAACGTAAGTAAATGATTTCATAATGCTTTGTCTGGAAATGACTGTTTTCCCACATATTTATTCTTTTTTTTTTAGCAAAAAACTTAATTAACATAAGTAAACTCAAGAAACCTATTAAAAAAAATCCATGTCATCATGACCCCTTTAAGAGAAAGTGTGACCTTTAAACCATTTTATGATATTACAATATTATAATGCAGAGGTCTTCAACCCTACTCCTGGGGACCCACTGTCCTGTACAGTTTATTTACAACCTAATTCAGCACACCTGCATGTGCATTTTCAAGCTAATCTAAAGAACTTGATTACCTTCAGGTGTGGTTGATTAGGGTTGGAGCTAAACTCGGCAGGAGAGTGGATCCCATGGAGCAGGGTTGAGAACCTCTGTTATAATGAAATGTTGTGTTTGTGTTTGCTTACCCAGGTGGGGCCCTCTTCGGCAGGCCCATGGCATTGGTCAGAGGGTAGGAACCAGATTTTGTTGAGGTATTGGAGGGTGGTTGTGTAAGGTTGTGGCTGATGGAGTAAGTTGAGGCAAGGGCATGGAATTGGTTAAAGGCATGCTAAATTGTGATACAGGTACAGCTTTTAATATGGAAGCAGGTACTGTAGGAAGTAGAGGGACAGATGCAGGGGTCTGCAGAGGAATTGGAGCAGAGTTCATTACAAAAGGAGGTGGTTGGAGTTGGGATGGAACTGAATTTGCAGGAGGGTGAGTTGGCTTGACAGGCGGTGGCTCACAACTTGTCCTGTCTAAATGTGGTGAATCTTGGCTTGGGGAGGCATCTTCCTGCCACTGTTCCAAAAGCACCTGGTTGTGGAGGATCTGAAGCTGCACTGGGTCTCTAAGATAAGACAAATGAAGGGGAAAACAAGCATGTTTTCTACTTCAGATAGTCCTAAAACATAATTTTACTCTCAAGTTGTCTTGCAACACTCTGAAGTTGGTACTTACAATTTTGGTTTAGCCAACACTGGTGGTGGTTCTTTAGATGACATTCCTTTCTCCTCCTCGTCTTCATCTTCCAGGAGTTTAAAGGTTACACGGAGGCCAACTCGGGAACTAGAGCGGGATTCGTTGTGATTCCCTAATATACCCTCGGGTCTTGTCTTGAGGCAAGAAGTTGGGGTATCAGGTAGGGGTTTAACAGTTGGCCGCTCTTGATGGTTACTGCAGTTTACTGGTGGGAAACTAGTAACAGAAGGGCTGGGGGTTGGTTTTGAACCATTTGGTAATGGTTCTACCGAGGCATCAGAGCTCATAGTGATGCTGGAGGCTGATCCGTTTGGTGGACTTTGGGTCACTTCTGTGGAAGGCTTAAAACCGGACCCTCCTGAATCAAAGTGTGTTGTGCTAGAGCTGAGAGGCTTATGGTTTGAATCTGAGTTCAGTGAAGAAGAACTGAAGCTGAGTGGGTCTAGCTGAGGTAAACTAGTCCTTAAAGTATCTGAGCTGTATTTTCCAATGCTGAGAGGATTTAGACTAGGTAGGCTAGTGGTGAGATCATGGCGAAGGGTACGAGGATTTAGGGAATCTGAGCGAGGTGTTCCAGAGTCCTGAATGTCTGAATGCTTAAATCCAGATTTCAAAGGGTCAAGGCAAATCATACTTGAGTGAAGTTTGTTGTTTACCAGAGGAACATCTGGTTTATGCTTTAAAGATGTTGACATCAGTTCTGTTGCCGGAATCTTTTGGAGGGAGGATTCCACTGTTAAAGTGCTTGTTGTTTTAGGATTGGTGCTGTTCTTATTGTGTCCTATCGATGCAGACAAAATATTGTTCAGAATTAGACTTGAGATGTGATATATGTATTCATTTTTATCTCATTATGAACTTAAGCAATCTTAAGCTGATCCAATAATAGATTCCTCAACAATAAAACTAAATTACCTTTTACTCTCAATACTGCAGTACTGGAAACTGTGCCATATTTATTGCTGGCTATGCAAGTAAATGTTCCAGAATCCTCTGGAAAGACCTCCGCAATAACCAAAGTACATATCTCCTCTGATGTCCACACCAAACAGAGAAATGGTACAATGTTAGGTGATTAGAGTCATGAAATAATTACCTTGGCAAAGCAAGGGTAATCAAATCCACCTACCAGACTCAGCCATGGATCTTGGTTCTGGGATGAAAAAAGCAGAATGTGTGAATTGTCAGAACAATTTTAAGAAGAAAGAGTCAAGCACTGTAAACTTTTCTTTCAAGTTGAAACATTTTCAGCAGTTTTCAAGGATGGATCCAACCACATATCAAAATTCACTGTGCACTAAAATTATACATACTCTTCTGAAGGATTCTGAAGTCTGGGGAATCTTCAATAAGTGTTCCCTCCCGGTACCAGTCCACTTTAGGGGAGGGCGATGTGATATATGTATTCATTTTTATCTCATTATGAACTTAAGCAATCTTAAGCTGATCCAATAATAGATTCCTCAACAATAAAACTAAATTACCTTTTACTCTCAATACTGCAGTACTGGAAACTGTGCCATATTTATTGCTGGCTATGCAAGTAAATGTTCCAGAATCCTCTGGAAAGACCTCCGCAATAACCAAAGTACATATCTCCTCTGATGTCCACACCAAACAGAGAAATGGTACAATGTTAGGTGATTAGAGTCATGAAATAATTACCTTGGCAAAGCAAGGGTAATCAAATCCACCTACCAGACTCAGCCATGGATCTTGGTTCTGGGATGAAAAAAGCAGAATGTGTGAATTGTCAGATAACAATTTTAAGAAGAAAGAGTCAAGCACTGTAAACTTTTCTTTCAAGTTGAAACATTTTCAGCAGTTTTCAAGGATGGATCCAACCACATATCTAAATTCACTGTGCACTAAAATTATACATACTCTTCTGAAGGATTCTGAAGTCTGGGGAATCTTCAATAAGTGTTCCCTCCCGGTACCAGTCCACTTTAGGGGAGGGAATGCCTTTTACTCTGCACTCAAGAACTACCAACTGACTCTCTACAGCCAGGACATCCTGGAGGTTCTACAGCAAAAGAGACAATTGTGTACCATGACAATGGAATGTAAAACCTGTAAAACTAGGTTTTAATTTTTCTGAAGATAATAGCTATTGCCATAATGATTTTTGGATAGCTGCCAGGGCATTGCTACTCTATACACTGTCCAAAAAAAAAAAAAAGCTGGTCACTTAGGCAATACCCGCAAAGGGACACCTTTGTATCTTCTTTACCCCTAATGGGTGCATAATAGTACCCTAGAATAGTAATATGTACCCTTAAGGTAGTAATATGTACTTTTATGTTCCTAACATGCACCATTTAGGTACAAAGGTGTCCCTTTGAGGGTACTGCCCCAGTGACAAACTGTTGTATCCCTAAAGGTACAATTTCTTTCTGAGAGTGAACAGTGCATTTTATGCATTTTAAAGGGTGTTCTGTGGGGTTGATAGTGCATTGCTAGTTGGTTTCTTACTGGCCCAAGTCAAACTGGAACACCACCAAGGCTTTATAATATTTCTAAACATGGCTTGCACTGGATTTGCAGCCTGCCAAGCATAAATCGTAAGTCTGACTGCATACCAAGGTTTTGACTCACTGGATTTGGGACAGGCATGCATGCAAAAGTTTAAAACACGTGAAAATATTATAATACGTATATGTTTTTTTTTCAAGCATTAATTTATACTTAATTGGTGCTCAATGTCAAGATTTAGAAATACAAGCTGTGTTTGCTCTACCTTCGTAAAAACAGGAGCTGCCATCATGGGCCTTACATCGAAGCTTTGAAGATAGCTACTGCTGCCATTTAGAGTCTGAAAACAAAACATATTGAATGTAAGAAAAACACATGCATTAGTGGAAAAACAAAACTGCAGATTTGGTGTGTTTTTCATACCTCAGAAATGCTCTGTTGAGATGTTAACAGTACATCGGAGATACTTTGGCTGGATGGAGGTGATGGTGGGGCAATGGTCAGTGGAGAAATTGGTGGAGTGGGTTCGACCTCAGATATTGGCGTTGATGGTTCTAGTACAGGTATGGTTGGTTCTACTACAGAAATGTTTGGTTCTAGTACAGGTATTTCAGCGCTGACAACCTTGGAACTCAGAAGTTCTGTATCTTCCTGCTTAGAGCTTGGGTTAGCAATCAGCTCAGTCAGTGGCACTGCTTCTGTGTCAGAAGGTGCTGGTGGTTCAGCGAAGGTGGTTGTTATAGTTGGTGTGGTGTCTTCAGCAGATGTGTTGGGTTCTGCCAAGACCACAGCAGGTTTGGGCTGAGGAGATCTTTCATGAAGTCTGGAAATAAAGATGTGTGCATGTGATTTCAACCCCTAGGGGTTCAAAAGGTACTGCAGATACAGATTTCATAATGGAAAATATACAAACTCACTCTGCTTGAAAATGTTTTTCTTCGTCAGAATCTGACGAAGATGCTCCTAATAGAAAATGAAAATATACAAACTTAATTTCAGACTGCAGCTGCAATGATTTAGTCAATGTATATTTCATATTAAATAGTCCATAAGTCATTTACTGACCCTCAATGTAGATTTCTGCTGAGGTGGAGTCTGTGCCATAAAAGTTGGAGGCAAAGCACGAGTATCTGCCCGTGTCTTCTTCAAATGCCTCTGCTATGATCAGAGTGTGTCGCTCACCATTAGCGATGATCTGAATATCAGGACTGTTTTCCAACTCTTTACCCTCACAAAACCACCTGGAAAACCCAATCAGAATGTTACATTCTGGACAGGAACACACATCTACAAGTACATCCACAATACAATAAATTCATGAATGTAAATGTAAAACATGCACACAAATCATGTCTGAATGCATCTGGTTTTAATTTGACCTCAGCTGAAAATCCAATGAATGTACATTCAGTTGTATACTGACATTTCAGCCCATTTACAACACAAATACAATGCATATTTAATTATTCATTTAAAAATTTTAAGTGTGCTAGTGACACTAAATGAATACCTTTGAACACCATTTGCGGTCACAGAGTTCATTAATTCAAGCATTACAGTACAGAGGTAAACCACATTTATTCAACAATATCATGACTTTTTTCAATTCATGTTTGATAGCCAAAATGTGCACCGTGTAAAACAAAAACCAAAAAGGTTCAATTGCAATATATCTCAAAATAGCTGAATATCATCTAGATTTTCAGTCTATCACAATATGCAAACAAATTAAATGTGTTGTTAAAATGCAGAATGTTTAGTGTGATGAATAGCTTTTGGACATATTAAATGGTCAATCCAGCCTAATTAATGTCAATAATACAGGTCACAAATATTTCTAATAACAAAAATAAAGAATAGATTTCAATTTTTAGGGTAGAATCTCTTGAAAAACTAGTTGATTAGAAAAAGCTATTTACTTTCAAACTTTCAAATAAACAATTTTCATTGTATTTACTCTGCTGACACGACGACTTTCTTTAGTCATTCAATGGCAAAAATAAGTTAACTGACTTACAGTCGTCAGACTATTAGATATTAAGCTGTTGAGGTGAGGTTGTAGCAATTTACTAATGAAGTTATTTTTTGCATATATCACTTTGTGTTAAAGAAGGCATTCAAAACCATTTCAATGCATCTCACAAATCATCCAAAATCAGTCCTCCTTATCAAACACATCAGCAAAATAAGAACCACATCGCAACACAAGACAAACAGCATTCATTCAGTAATAAATCAATGGGCAAAAATCATATTCTTGAATCCACAAATATAGCTTTACCACAACCTTACCTAGAAGACCGTACGACAGTTATTTCACTTTAACTGCTGTTTCCTAAAATTCCCTCGCTGAAATTGAAAGCGCTTCTGAAGAGACGAGTTGTGGTTCATTCCTTGGGCGAGACATGGCTGAAATGTATTGGGTTTGATCCATGAGCCAGTGAGGATCATTTCTAATGAGTAAGACTCTACTTTGACAGCCTGAGCTGCGGGGGAATGACATTCAGTGCTAGATCTGCACCTGTTCAGGCTATTTTCCCTCTCGACTCACCCACGGCACAGGAACCCCTGTTAAAACTGGACGGCAGCATCCCTGACCAACACGCATGAGCTAAACATAGAAGGGCCTCTCATATATTCACCAACACTGCTAATAGATCTGTCAGATATTTAGCAGGCATTTGCCTCTGACAGAGAAACACTTGACATTTTTAGTTACAACAACTATGTGGATTTTTATTTTTACAACATTTACTTATTTAGAACTCAAAGATTTAAAAAAAAAAGATTTAGAACTTAAGATTTTGGAAAATCTACTACAAAGACAAGCTATTAAGTAAAATGCTTCTAGAAAGCATTGGTAAGAAAAACACATGCATTAGTGGAAAAACAAAACTGCAGATTTGGTGTGTTTTTCATACCTCAGAAATGCTCTGTTGAGATGTTAACAGTACATCGGAGATACTTTGGCTGGATGGAGGTGATGGTGGGGCAATGGTCAGTGGAGAAATTGGTGGAGTGGGTTCGACCTCAGATATTGGCGTTGATGGTTCTAGTACAGGTATGGTTGGTTCTACTACAGAAATGTTTGGTTCTAGTACAGGTATTTCAGCGCTGACAACCTTGGAACTCAGAAGTTCTGTATCTTCCTGCTTAGAGCTTGGGTTAGCAATCAGCTCAGTCAGTGGCACTGCTTCTGTGTCAGAAGGTGCTGGTGGTTCAGCGAAGGTGGTTGTTATAGTTGGTGTGGTGTCTTCAGCAGATGTGTTGGGTTCTGCCAAGACCACAGCAGGTTTGGGCTGAGGAGATCTTTCATGAAGTCTGGAAATAAAGATGTGTGCATGTGATTTCAACCCCTAGGGGTTCAAAAGGTACTGCAGATACAGATTTCATAATGGAAAATATACAAACTCACTCTGCTTGAAAATGTTTTTCTTCGTCAGAATCTGACGAAGATGCTCCTAATAGAAAATGAAAATATACAAACTTAATTTCAGACTGCAGCTGCAATGATTTAGTCAATGTATATTTCAGATTAAATAGTCCATAAGTCATTTACTGACCCTCAATGTAGATTTCTGCTGAGGTGGAGTCTGTGCCATAAAAGTTGGAGGCAAAGCACGAGTATCTGCCCGTGTCTTCTTCAAATGCCTCTGCTATGATCAGAGTGTGTCGCTCACCATTAGCGATGATCTGAATATCAGGACTGTTTTCCAACTCTTTACCCTCACAAAACCACCTGGAAAACCCAATCAGAATGTTACATTCTGGACAGGAACACACATCTACAAGTACATCCACAATACAATAAATTCATGAATGTAAATGTAAAACATGCACACAAATCATGTCTGAATGCATCTGGTTTTAATTTGACCTCAGCTGAAAATCCAATGAATGTACATTCAGTTGTATACTGACATTTCAGCCCATTTACAACACAAATACAATGCATATTTAATTATTCATTTAAAAATTTTAAGTGTGCTAGTGACACTAAATGAATACCTTTGAACACCATTTGCGGTCACAGAGTTCATTAATTCAAGCATTACAGTACAGAGGTAAACCACATTTATTCAACAATATCATGACTTTTTTCAATTCATGTTTGATAGCCAAAATGTGCACCGTGTAAAACAAAAACCAAAAAGGTTCAATTGCAATATATCTCAAAATAGCTGAATATCATCTAGATTTTCAGTCTATCACAATATGCAAACAAATTAAATGTGTTGTTAAAATGCAGAATGTTTAGTGTGATGAATAGCTTTTGGACATATTAAATGGTCAATCCAGCCTAATTAATGTCAATAATACAGGTCACAAATATTTCTAATAACAAAAATAAAGAATAGATTTCAATTTTTAGGGTAGAATCTCTTGAAAAACTAGTTGATTAGAAAAAGCTATTTACTTTCAAACTTTCAAATAAACAATTTTCATTGTATTTACTCTGCTGACACGACGACTTTCTTTAGTCATTCAATGGCAAAAATAAGTTAACTGACTTACAGTCGTCAGACTATTAGATATTAAGCTGTTGAGGTGAGGTTGTAGCAATTTACTAATGAAGTTATTTTTTGCATATATCACTTTGTGTTAAAGAAGGCATTCAAAACCATTTCAATGCATCTCACAAATCATCCAAAATCAGTCCTCCTTATCAAACACATCAGCAAAATAAGAACCACATCGCAACACAAGACAAACAGCATTCATTCAGTAATAAATCAATGGGCAAAAATCATATTCTTGAATCCACAAATATAGCTTTACCACAACCTTACCTAGAAGACCGTACGACAGTTATTTCACTTTAACTGCTGTTTCCTAAAATTCCCTCGCTGAAATTGAAAGCGCTTCTGAAGAGACGAGTTGTGGTTCATTCCTTGGGCGAGACATGGCTGAAATGTATTGGGTTTGATCCATGAGCCAGTGAGGATCATTTCTAATGAGTAAGACTCTACTTTGACAGCCTGAGCTGCGGGGGAATGACATTCAGTGCTAGATCTGCACCTGTTCAGGCTATTTTCCCTCTCGACTCACCCACGGCACAGGAACCCCTGTTAAAACTGGACGGCAGCATCCCTGACCAACACGCATGAGCTAAACATAGAAGGGCCTCTCATATATTCACCAACACTGCTAATAGATCTGTCAGATATTTAGCAGGCATTTGCCTCTGACAGAGAAACACTTGACATTTTTAGTTACAACAACTATGTGGATTTTTATTTTTACAACATTTACTTATTTAGAACTCAAAGATTTAAAAAAAAAAGATTTAGAACTTAAGATTTTGGAAAATCTACTACAAAGACAAGCTATTAAGTAAAATGCTTCTAGAAAGCATTGGCCGTGTCATTTATGTACAGACGGTCAGATGAGCGTTCTCAAATGGTGCTGTAAGTAAAATGTTGAAAAGTGAAGTAAGTTTGGGTCACTGGAGGGATGATCTAATGTTTCTGACATCACAGTCTCTCGGTCAGCTGAGAACAGCTGTCCAAACACGTCACCGGTCACACAGACACGCTCAGAAAAGCGCGGCTTTCCTTGACCTGTCAGTGTGGGAAGTTTGCATTGAGTAATGTTACACTAACCTTTCATCAATGATTTGACAAGATATCTTTATGCTAACAGAAAATGCACCAATTTATGTTTACTATGTAATAGGTTATTAAATGCAAAAATGTTAAATGCATGATCAGTTCATACAAAGTTATTCAATGCAAAACGTTACATGCATGATCAGTTTATATGAAGTTTTTAAATGTTAATACGTTAAATGCAAGATCAATTTATACAATGTTATTAAATGCAAAAACGTTAAATGTATGGTCAATTTATATGACGTTATTAAATACAAAAATGTTAAATACAAAGCTATTAAATGTACAATCAGTTCATACAAAGTTATTAAATACAACAAAAGTTAAATGCATAAAGGAATGCCAAAAGGATGATAAATGTATATGTAGTTATTAAATGCAAACATGTTAAAAGCATGACCAATTTTTGCAAAGTTATTAAATGAAATAAAATTTAAATAAAAGCACACCCAATTTATATGAAGTAGTGATGAAATAGCTTCATAGTTCACTCAAACATAATTTATCCACTTTTAAATCATAACTGAAAAGGGAACATATATAACGTTATTAAGTCTAATTGTAGCAGTTTTTCAGCACACTGGAGCACTAAAGCATGTATTTTATGAGAGATGTCCAGTTTATAGAAAAGCACAAGCTGATTATCCCGGCTGGAGCAGCACATTTCCACAATCTGAGTCACACGGCTCTTCAGGCTTTACAAGTTATGATAATCATCCTTTAAAGTTCATCTAGCCCCAAGCCAGGAGCTAATGTTAAACGATTTTGATTTCTTCTGTTCTGCAATTAGCTTTTAGTAAACATAAACATTATCACCCTTTCACGACAAACACACTGACTACAAAAGAGGAAACTCATTCAACACAGAGAGCAGTGTGGTTATTATTAACTAAAACTATTAAAAATCATTTCTGGTCATTGAAAAAAAAATGTAAATACTGTAGAAATATTAAAATAATAAAACTAAAATAAAAAAAGCTAATTCAAAGTATGAATAAATACTATAATGGTATATAAATAATACTAAAATAACACTGTACCATCTTATATCACCATAATATGATTTTTTTTGTGAGGAAGTGACATTCATTTGTGCGGTTTATTTCATGAATTAGGACAGAAAAGACATTCATTGTGCCCAAGTAAACACTGCTACAATAAACTATAATCATACCCGCACTAATTGTGCAATAATTTGCAAAGCTCTGTACACATTTAATATCTTGTTTACTCTTCTACTCTTTGGCTAACTGTGCTCTACTGAAGACGTAGGACGATGATTTCAACTGCATTCTCATAGCATCATATTTCAGATGTAGCCGAATTAGATCAGACTGCATGTTATACGGTCAGCTTTCACAAGACGTCTTTGTGCTCACAGGCAATGCTTGAAAAAGTAGATTTTTAGCATGCATTTGCTAGAAAAACGGTTGCCATGATGCTACAGTGTTACAGATCCCTTGTGAAAAAGTACTACACTTTTTTTCTTATTGTACTTAGAAAGAAAACTACTTAAAAAGTATTTGTTTTGGAAATAATAAGTACTTATTATGGAAATAATATCGTTTAAAAGAATATACTTAAGTGCAAAATGAATGTAATGTTTTTGGACGCTTTATTGCATGTTAATTGCAAACATATTCTACATCAAATTTATATCAAATGCAATTATTTAAAAAAATTAAAAATGATTTACTCACCTTCATGTCGTTGCAAACCTTTTTCTCTCTCTATACTATATACGTCAACTGTTTCGTTACCAACATTCTTCAAAATATCTTCTGTTGTGTTCGAGATATCAGTGAAATTCATACTGGTTTGAAGCAAATGATGACACAATTTTTCATTTTTGGGGGAACTCCCCAAGAGAGCCACTTAAGGACTTATAGTATATCTTTATATGCAATTTCATTATTACTTCTATTGTCTTTAAAATATGGTTACAGTGTATTGCCGAATACTGCCAAACATTTATAATAAACTAAAATGTGTGTCAATGTCATTTCTATTATACAAATTAGCACATTTAAAAGCACAACTTTAAATATTAATTAATTAAAATTAGTTACAAATATAATCAAGTACCTGACGTGCTTTAGTCAGTCAATACATCAAAACAAGTGAATTTTTTTAAAAGTACAACAATAGATTATTAAAACTTACAGTGTACTTTAAAATAAAAATTATATATAATTTGCACTTTTGAAGTGCACTTAATTCTGTTAAGAAACAGTCACGAAAGTGTCTCTCTTTTTAAGAATGCTTTTATTTCATTAATATTATATTATCTGCAAGAGCACATTCAATGCAATTAAATGCGCAAGGGGTGTTGTCAAGGCGTTGCTATTTACACAAACTTTTTTTTTTAAAGTTGTAAATAAAACAAAGATTACTGGAATACATTTTTCAAGAAAAAACCCTGTCATTCTTTCAAAATCTCATGTTTTAAAGGAGACATATTATCCCCCTTTTTACAATATGTAATATAAGTCTGGTGTCCCCAGAATGTGTCTGTGAAGTTTCAGCTCAAAATACTCCACAGATCATTTATTATATCATTTTGAAAATGCCTATTTTCAGTGGAAGCAGAAACACGCTATTTTTTGTGCCTGTCTCTTTAAATGCAAATGAGCTGCTGCTCTCCGCCCCCTTTTCCAGAATAGAGCTGCGCCATTACTGCTAAAAACATCTGTTTTGGTTCTGATTATCATGTTTATCGTGTTGAAATCATGCGTTTTAAACCATATGAGTTTAAACTTCAGATATACGGTTTTCTGAGCGCACACATCTGAAGCACACGCACAGAAAGCGGCTGTCACAGCATGAGTACTAAACTAAGTTCTCTTTCACACACAAGTTTAC